TTTGCAAAACTGATAAATGTCTTGCCTAATTTTGGCCAAAGGAAATATCTCATAATTTTGTCTACATGTTTTGTTGATACCTAAATGATCTCCCATGGGGAGTTCATGGGCAACTTTCAATATTTCAGAAGGATATGCTTTAGGAACAACGATTTGATAAACAATAGCCCAGTCCTCTGAAGCTGACACATCTGGTGGTCTTCATTTCCTCATAAGCACACCATTTTATAAAAAATAACCATTTTCTCCAGTTCATCTTTTGAGAGTGCATATTTAAATAGTGAATAGATCTGTATATATATATATATATTTTTTTTGGTCAGCTATCAGTTTACTTTTAGTAAACTGAATTTCACCAGGTGAATCAGATCCCTCACGTCCATCGTTGTTCCTCACTGAGGAATCGTCAGTAGGGCAGTTATCCACAAGATCCTCGTCAGATTAAAAAAATGTGTGAGACAAATTATAATATAATCCTCTGAATCCATGCTCATTACTTGTTTTTGCCCTAATTTCTTAGCCTGAGCTCGAGTCACAGAACACGAGGGAAACACATCGGGATTCTCCTCAACTACAACATCATCCTTAGATGAAACCGTGATCGGTTCACCAACAATTTTAGGTTCAGCAACAACTTTTTCCCCAGCCAAATCGTCTCACAACAACAATAATACACCCTTAATTGGCAGAGTAGGTCTTACCCCAACCACAACTGGTCCCGAAACTAGGTCTGATGCTATATAAATATTATAAGGAGGAATATTAACAAAGCTACCTTCAATACCCTGAGCAATATTAAAATAAATACATAACAATAAATTCGTTACACTTTGTTGAATGAAAATTTCAGCAGCATTGTTAGCTTAATATTGGAAGCAGCTTCAGCAAATCAAACATAACTGCATTTATCAACAAGAAATGAAGAACTACACTTTGATCAGAGACCAATGATCCAAATTAATTACATTTCACTTAAAAACATGTGAACTGCTGACTAAAAGTTCTATATAAAGACACGCCTTATCGAACTTAATGGTTCGTAGTTCCACGTTGTGTTTAACATTGAGCTATCATTAGACTGTTGCATTCCTGTATTTTGAACCATCATAAGTGTCCCCAAAACCATGTGACTACCCTTGGTAACCTCAAAATGAACTTCAAGAACTGCAGCAATGAGGTCTTGAGGTCATATAAAGCGACCTCGAACTTCATACACAAGAAAATAAGATACAATCAGAGTAACTATTTATTCTTGCATTAAATATGTAGAGGAAAATACAGTTCTGCTACAATTTTTTTAAGAATTTAAATTTTTCTAAGTAGTTAGAATATGTTTTGTTGCACGTGATTTGTGGTGCATTTCTTTAATACTAAAAACATTTTTAATAGACACCACGCATCAGAAGTGAAGGAACATGTTAAATCGAAAATAGAAAAGGACCAGCTAGCTGTCATTCGCTCTGGTATTTCTCAGCATGATATATGGAAACCATCCGAACTACGTCAACAGGCCCTCACAGACAGCATAAACAATTTTTTATTCAGTCCCTTTGGCCTCTGTAAGGTATGGAAACACCAACCTTCATTAATTAGATCAGAGATCAGTCTTGGATCCTTTGCTCTCTTTGAATTACACCAATGACATAAATGAGGGAATGGTCAATACAATATCTAAATTGTTGATGATATTCATGT